TTTTGTCATATAAAAAAAACAACAAACTTTAAAGTTATGTGTTAGCCAGCCCTACACAAAACCCTAGTGTTTTTGCCACATATTAATCGACTATTTAAGTGTCTTAGTGATAATTGAACGTGTGGCCAGCGGTTTCGTGGTATTATCCTGTTGGTATGTGCCAAATGTTTAGCCTGACTGATAGTTCTACGATATATAAGGTTTTTTCATCGTTACATTTACTGTCATCGGCTTAAATTGGAACTATTAGAGACTAATCTGTACGTCGTGAATTGTACTGTAATTAGTCGACGAAATGCGAATTGTGTAAGTTTAGCGAAATGGTTCGATAGCTTGAACAGCACATCACATAGCAAAACGCACACAGGTGAGTATTGCGAGATGTTAAACCTTACCAGCGTTCCCTGCGTGTACATGAAGTCCTTTCCTATAGTGCTGAATCCTTCAGCCTCGTTTCATAGTCAATTGTCACGACTCCCTATATACCGTCTTATCGTCTTCCTTGTAACACGATTAGGCACTTATGGTCAATATCTAGTGCTCTAGCCAGCGTGCCTCCGTATCGGGAAGAGCACCCAGTTAGATCCATGCGGCGAGCAGTAAAGAGAGCTGACAGAGACGACAACAGTAAAAGCATCGAAATCCATGCGCCGGTGTGTCTTGGAATATAGGATGGTTCAGCGAACAAACATGTACACAAGATCGATTTATAGTAGCCCTGCACCATCATGGGGCAGGTCTCAGCTATTCCACGCATTTCCTATTATTATTTAGCATAGTGCACGCCGTGTAACGTGTGTGGCACGTGTGAGTGTGTGTTGTGTGTGGTTGTGTGTGTGTGTGTGTTGTGTGTGTGTGTGTGTTGTGTGTGTTGCGTGTGTCTGTGTTGTGTGTGTGTTGGTGTGTGTGTTGTGTTGGTGTGTGTGTGTGTGTGTGTGTGGTGTGTGTGTGTGTGTTGCTGTGTGTGCGCGTACATGCGTGCGTGTATGCGCGTGCGTGCGTATAATATTTCCTTATATTTATATCTCCCAAATAAGCCCTCCGGTCAATAGATAATATATTTCATCAACCGAATATCTTACCGTATTGGTGGGTATGATATCTTGTGGTGGGACAGCCAACGCGTTG